ATAAAACTATAGACTGTATAAAGACATATATTCAGTCTATGTATAAATTTGTAGTACTAGTATTATATTCTAACTCTACAGAGACTTAAACAATTAAGTGCAAGACAACGCTAATTGCTATGAGCATGAAAACGCACTTCCACTACTTTTGGAGTAACTTGGTACAAAGGCTGTTACTTGTCATGGAGGACGTCGTTTTTACCAGTCCTACTGCCAGAGAGCAGGCCATATGGAGCCGGCTATAGGTTCAACACAAAGCGGTGCTACTGCCTGCTCTAAGCTGTCTTAGCAAATCATCTTACACTTAAATGAATCTCTTTCCATAGACGAGAGCACCTTATCCGAACACCGGTCTACCCCAGTAACTTTTCCCATGCAAACTTTTTCGGGACAGGGCGAAAACTAACTCTTACCTGTGGGTCTGTCCGTGGAGCCCTCGGAGCCCGCGGCGGACGACATGCCGTGTGGCCGCTGAAAGCTACGAGGCGCCGTGCCGGCAGCTGTAGTAGTGGTACGCGGAGAGAGGAGGAGGGAGCGCTACAGAGCCGGCCAGTTGTATAATTGACTTCATTTTTTCTCCACCATTTCTCCCCCCCTCCTTTCTTCTTTTTTTCACATGAAGACCCGGTGGGAGGGGTCTGCTCGACTACGCCAGAGGGAACAACGAAAGAGTTCACACCAGTCTCCTATATTCAAATCCTCATTGGTTCATTCATGCCGTGCGCTCTCATTACGCGCAATGCTGGGGTGTTTTACTAGGTCATCTGCTGCTGTTCATTCATTTAAACAGAAGCAGTAGGCTGCAATGTCTCATTCCATTTGTCAGCATCATGTTGCCATTGTCACTTATTACCAAAACAATGAACTTATTCGCAAACCACATTCCACCGTTGCGCGTTAAAAGTACGTGATGTCCTGCTGCGTTCACAGTCAACCAGTAAACCCGGACATCACATAGTGGACCTACATGATATCTTACTCTGCAATGGCAGGAACCTTTATTTTGCCACCCAATAAAGTTTTATTAATATGTATATTTTCTACGTTCACAGTGCCGCGTCAGCCTTGAGTCTAGTCTCCCCCCGGTGCCGTGCCCGTCTCCGTGACCTGAAAATGCGTCGTGCGCGCAACAGATCTGACTTCATACTTTCTAGTTTTTCCTCTAAAAGATGTACAAACGGTAAGAGGTCTCACTCTGTCTGATCTGGGAGGAGGGAGAGCTGTTGAACTGGGACTGTGGTGATGTATTTAACAAAATGCTATATAACAGGTCAATATTTTTTTCCTCTTTGTTTTTTTGAAGCTCCATTGTGTAAAACATACTTGTAGGTCACTAGTTCTCCAAGTTATAAGTTTTACGGTGGCACGTGCGCAGCAGAGTAATGATAGAGACTTTTTATTCTAAGTGTAACAGCCACTTTTACAATAAGAGGCGAGTGCAAACATTGTCCCAGTAAGCAGGGAAATCTCTCTTCTGCATTTGCACCATTCTTCTAAGGCCAATGGGGCAGTTGTCAGGAGCAGTGACCAACTGTGGTCAGCACCTGTCCCCAGATCATAGTTTGGTCTTAATTAGAAGTACCTGGAAAACTGTGGTGTATGTTTTTAGACACTTTGGCCATGAATATTCTCTGTCTAGAAAACGTCAATCAGCTATTTTAACATTTAGTAAAAATAATTTTTAAATCTCAGTGTGCTATAGAAATAATTGCTGAGTTGACTACTAAAATAACAAAAAGTTTGTTACAGCCCTAATACCTACCCCTTGTTTTTCTGTTATAATTTTACAGTGATGAAATACCAAATAAGAAATTCTAACAACCACTGGCACAGATTTTTTTTTCTTATTATTCCTCACTAAAATATCACATTTGACTTGACAATAACCTATGCATTGGCCACTGTATCTAAACTGTAAAGTGACCCCAGGAAGAGTAGCTGATGCAGTACGCTGCAGAAGCTAATAGGGATTAAAATAAATAAAGTTACCACTCACATTTCAGTCATAATATCAAACTCCTTCTCGTCTTTGTAAGTCCCCTTGTGTTGTCAAGAGTTTCTAGTCCATTATGTTTTTTTCATCCTCTTTCTTTCAAGTGCACCGATCATAAAGGAGCTTCTTTGAGGATTTCATGTTGAAGTGTTTGATTGTAGTGTAGCTACAGCACAGAAGAAGAAAGGTTCAGTGAGCGTCTGATCTAATCACTTGAAAAAGGGAGATTTAAAATAGCACTCAATGAGAAAGTGTAATGAAGAGGGTTGTAGTGTGCATAATTGTATAATTCGCTTGACAAATTACTATGACAAAGGCTATTTCATTCTCATGCAGTAATTGCTCTAAATTTGTCTACGTCAGGTCTGATTCAATTCATGTTTTTGTTCAGCTCAATGTCACAGTAGCAGTACAAGGAGAAGGACAGTCAACAGTGAAGCAGACAATTAATATACTTTTACCACTCCACTGTTTAAACTATATTTCCTTAAAGGCACACTGTATAACTTTTGTGGAGGGTCTATCAAATGGTTTTCTCCATGAAGATGTTAGTGCTTTATTTGGATGATGTTTCACAGTATGGCATTATCATCATGGAGACCAAACCAGACCAAGATACAGGTCAGACAGACTGTGGACAGACAACCCCTGTTTTTTAAGTTATTTTTAAGCAATTAGATCATCTGTAAGCTAATAAAAGTAAGATAGAGATATTTAATGTCATACTGTTGAACATTTCAGGCAGAGCAATGACATATCCATGGAAACAAGCAGGCGACGGGCGCACATCCAAAAAGTTACGGAGTGCACCTTTAATGAGTCAAAAATAATGATCAAATATTAAAGGTTGTGGTGGTAATAGTCCTAGTAGCAGGTTGTTGTGGTGAAGATTAAGTGTCATGATGATTATTAATTTAAGCCATGTCATTTTTAAAATTAGTAATCTTTTGAACATTTTAATTTGTAAGATATTTCCCCATTGCCAAAAACAATAATAGTAAAATGCATACAGAATAAGCTATTAATACAGGTTAATTCTTATATACTTTTTTTTTTTTTCCATACAAATTGAACGTGGCACAGTACTGTCCATTCTTTCCATTCTGTGTTATAAAAACAGACGGTAGTGGAGCATCAACACAAACATCGACGATCTCCGGGTTTCACCTACATAGTGTAATTCGAGACCTTCGCACGAGACTTTACGTAAGACGAATGACTGCACGTGCCAGAGAAAAACGTGTTGACCTATATATTAGATAACATTTGGGGTCACGTGGTTTTTTTTAACCTATTTTGAGCCCGTTTTTTGCGGAGAAAGTTTGGGACAATCCGGAAACGTCTGAAACGGACAGGAAAGTGACGCGTGCAGTGCAATGCTTTATTATAAAAGTTTTTATTGTAGGACGCTCCAGATTGGGCTAGAACATGTATGGGCTAGTCTATATAAAACAAAACAAACAAAAAATACAGTTTTGTTTTGTTTTATTTTATCTCGTAGCAACACAATAAAATAATAAATGACATAAAGCCCAAAATATAAATATTAAATCAACTGTCACATTTTTTCCAATTGACCTTTTCAGTTCACTAAAAGACTTAATTTTATTAGTGGTGTTTTATTAGTAAAATGTTGAAACTGTTACTTAACTGTATTTGCATGTTTATTATGCCTACTTTCATGCCTATTTTTAACTAAATAAATCACATATTTTGAAATCTTGAAATTGAGACCCTCACAAATCATCTTAAAACAGGGCTGACATTTTCCTCTTGGCTGCAGTAGGAGGCTAGACTAATACCCTCTGGCCTCTTCTGCTCTGTCTGTAATGTGGCCCTTGAAAGCCCTATAGAAAATGTCTGCATGTCTGGCTTTATTCCTGTTAATAAAAAAGTCTAATGAGGCACATCCGAAGCATTTAAAAGTTTAAATGACCTTCTGATCCCAACAAAAACGTTATTAACCTTTTTATAACTAACATCTGGTGTTAATAGGTACAAACTATACAACTGCAAAATAGTTGAGATCATTTAACAAGTTTAAAACTACTAGCCTTGATATGCTTGATGTAATAATACTCTTTCATGTGTAATTGTTTATTATTTTTACTTTACTTAAACAAAAATTTGAAACACAACTAACATGTTTTGTCCAGCGCTTGAGCCTACATATGACAAAAAAAGTAAAAAAAAAAAAAAAAAAAAAAAAAAGCTGTTGCCAGACTATAAAGTTGGGTGAAAAGTGATTAATTTTGAATAGATACATTAATGTGTGAAAACCTTGAATCTTCTGGGGGGAAAAAGCACTCAGGTAGTCAAAATTTTTCACATTCTTTTCCTCACTAATTTCATACAGATGATCTGGAATCACGTCATTAAGGTTTATCAAAACAAAGAGCTCCCTCTAGCGGCTTTAAAACCTTAGTGCAACTAATTGCTTTTCACGTATGATGTCATGGATAGGGGTGGGTTAGTATAAGTTTTTCTTCTTCCCACTCCTTTTCAAGAAATGTGCTTTTCAGTTGTTTACAATGTGTATGTAGTATACCTGAGTATTGTTTCTCTCTTGACACAAACTCGAAATAAAAACAAATCAATCAATCAAGGATTCACGCCATAGTGATTCCTGCTTAGTTTTGTGCAATTCTGTAGATTTTTGGGTGGTATTGTGTGTATCTTTGAACTCTAAATTACAACATAAAGTGAAGAGTTGTCCAAGTACCAGTTGTATGTGTATGTGTATGTGTATGTGTATGTGTATGTGTATGTGTATGTGTATGTGTATGTATGTGGTAATCCAGGAAGTGCTCCACTGTCTTTTAAAACTCCATACATCTTCACAAGAGTCATTTGAATAATTTCATCTCTGGAATTGCCATCCTCAACTGAACAAAAGATAAAACATAGCTATTAACTTGAAAACGATCGCTTTGGAGATGCAGACAGACTAATGTGTGAGTGAAACAAAACATAAAACACAACAGATGGAAAAGAGTACACAATGCAATTACAGCTTGAATCTATTTGTTTTTATTATTTTAAGCTTTTTATCAACATAAAATCCAGTGAATGAACATATTAACAGCTTTTCCCATTCACTCTAAAGACATTTTATTCTACAGCTATATGTACAGATCACTTCATGACACAAAACAAAGACCAGGTCCACACAGGTCCAGGGTTAGTCTTTCATCGACGGCATAAAATCCAGTTTTTTGCATGGGAAATATTATATCTTTTAATAGCTAGAATTCAGAGCTATTATAGTGTAGAGGTTACAGCAGTGACTGACAGGTGACCCACTGCTAAGACCCACCTACAGTTTAACCAACTTGTCAAAAACATGAGGGGGAAAAAAGTTTAAAGAACAAACATAATTTAACTTTTGCTTTGACAGTTGAGGTGTACATATTATATAACTCTGTCAAAAATACATGTTTAAGGTTAACAAGGATCAATAATCAATAACTTAACTTGATTGACAGAAAGTAATTATAAAAGCACCAACTACCAAACATAGTTATAGAGAATTGTAACTCATTATTTCCAATTTTACAAGTTTTGTGCTGTTATGATATATGAATACATAAATAAAAAGGAATTACATTTGAACTAAATGAAAAATAATATGTAGCAGCATTAGCATTCTTTACTCCAATACCAAAATAATTAGTACGGTATGCCATAGACTGTATATATAAATGGACAGAGCTAACCCGTCAGCCGCCGCGTTCCAAATAGGAAGTGCACATGTGGACGCTTACGGCTCCATCGACTGTTTCCAATTGACTTTACATTGGAAAATTGTGGCTCCTCTCTCTGTAACTGCTGCTGTGAGTTTGTATTAACTTGCTCTATGTGCTCCTGCTGTTTTGATTTTGCTGTTTTGTTGAAAATACATTCCTATTCGTAATATGAAGCTTGGTTCCAAATTTGCTCCTAAAACTGCTAGACCCATGAGCTTCATTTGACTGGAGCTGAACACTATGGGTGATATCATACTCCCTTGGTCCACTTCTTTACACAGTCTATGGCCACAACTAACAAAAACAACCAACCAATCACAGGAGGCCAGCGGTGGGTCAACTGCTGAGGTGAAAATTTGTTGTTAAAATTAGGCTTTATTTAATATTGTCCCTTCTGTAGTTTAGTACAGTTATACTAAATCTCTTTTACATAGCCTAAATAAACTCTTTAAAACAGATAAGGGCCATGGAGCTAGTTTGGTCCTATAGGGATTAATTGTATTACAAAGTATAGATCTTTTAAATATTTCCTATAATTGTTATCATCCCCATTAAAGTGACGTGGTGTTATATTCAAGTCCCAATTCAGATCTGCATCGTCTCAAACACAGATTAAATCTCCGTCCTCTATAGACCTTCTGTTACAGCACAAAACATGACAAAAATAGCACTTCATCTTTACACCGTACGCTGCCTTTGTTTCAGGCTGAGAGCAGGTCGTGTCTTATATAATCACACAACTACTGTTCGCCAAAAGCCACAAGCAGATTTGTCCTTCATGTGTTTTTCTAAGGTCCCAAGATGCATCACTGTTCACATATTTACAAAAGCCCATAGAGAGATTTCTAATTCTGAATCTAATTTATTAAATGATTAAAGCTGGGAAATTTGTTGTTAAAATATATTAAAATGGGGGATGCAAGTAAAGTTTATAAATATTTTTAGTACTATTTTTACATGACCCTTTTAACTTTACTTGCATTTGTTTATAATAGTGCACAATTCAAAATTATTAATTATCAACACCATTTTTACCAATTTAAACTTTTTGAGACCTGCATTCAAATATAGCAACTGAAATCTCTCTAAAAGCATTTGAAAACACAATCTCTCAAAGCTTTTCTCATCTCACTTACAATAAACGGACCATTTAAACCAAGCTACACATCAGGAAAAGCCATTGTATTGGACCAGTGAATTTAATTTAAGTATTTTGCATTTGAGATTCAGAGCCGCCATCTTGGTCTTCTGTATTCAGCTTATTTATTTAGAAATGGCGTTTGAAGTCCACTATGTCTACAATGGCAAAATCAGTCTGTGTCCTCCCAGTAATAAGCCTTAATGTTACAAAGCCAAGCGAGTGTTGCCCAAATAGATACAAGACCATAGCTTTCATGTCTTTTAAGGTAGTTTAAAGTTTAGTGCAGTTATTTTAGGTGATTGCTACATCTTAATGATCTTTGGTTACTAACTTTAGCGACTGACCTAACTAGCTCTGAGCAAGGACTTGTGGGAGCCAGACGACTGATAGAAGAGCCGAGGAACGTATTTTTACTTGTCATATAACCTATTATGCTTTTGAAACACTCAAGGGGCAGGAAACTGATTGAAATTTCTTGTTTTCATACAAATAAGTTGCACATTTTAGTTATGCGTGGTTTTAAAAGGAGCCTAATATTGATAACATAGTAGGACTACTCTGAAAAGTTACTGGGTACATCTAACTTGACTACCATTGAAAACAGGAAAACACAAATTGTTGCTTACTCATAATATATCTAATAATAAATGCTGGCAGGATGTCAAAAATATTGGTCTAGATGAGAACAGTCATGCTATTGTTCTCTGTTAAGCAGTACAGTATATCTTTACGGGCCTTCTGTTTTATTACCAGAACCTATAAAACCACCTCTGTGCTATCTTCCCCTTCTATTAAAAATACAAACTTTGACAATTAACTTTTAACACCAAACTCCAGAACAATGCCTCTTCATTCTATGGCTTTTAATCAACAATAGACATACAATAGAAGTCAGTGTTTTTGACTTCTTAAATTTGATTTGACTAGAATGTTTTATTAGCAACAAAATGTGGTCTGGTTTAGTTAAAAATTAAAATAGGGACAGGTCTTGTGTTAGATCTTGATGGAAAGTACCAAGTCTTACCTGAAAGACCTATTTTGATATATATTTATTACTCTTTGTTATCATAATATGTCTACATCTAAGCTGTGCATGTTTTAGATTGATGGGGAACTCTGAACATCAGTAATAAATGCTAAACTCCACAAGGAAATACCTCATAATGTCCAAACGTCAAACCTAGGATGCTAATAAACAACAAAACTCCATATTTATAGCAACTGAGGGATAGATTTGAACCTGTATTGCTTTCCACTTTGTCTGTCTTCCACATGTTTGCTCAGAGCTAACGTAGCCACCACCCTCTGAACATTTAATTGAGCATTTTTATGTCACACAGTTTTTTTGCGGCAGTGATTTCCCAAAGCTAGTACGCCGCTAACCATGCAGATACGCTAATTTAGTGTCCTAGCTAGTGAGACGCTATATAGCTATGGCTAACATATAATATCAGAGGTATTGCAGAAGTAGATAATGCATTTTTCTTCTTTACTCTTGGACGCAAAACAGACTTAAAAGCTGCACGATGTAACATTTTCGTTGGGGGTCTGTCACCTGTTTGTTTCTATGGATATGCCACTGCTTTGCCTGCAATGTTCCACAGTATGACATTAAACAGCTCTTCCTTACATGTATTAAATTACAGGTGGTTTTATAGCTCAAAAATACCTAGACAAAATTAAATTGACTGTGAGTGGGGTTTGGCTCTCCACAGAACTGACCTGTAACTTGATCTGCTTTGGTACTCTATGAAGATTAAAAAAAAAAAAAAGGTTTACTATCATACTGTGAAACATTCCAGACAAAGCAAAAACAACAATGGAGAAAAAACACTTGACGGATTCTCCACCAGAAAAGTTACACAATGCTTCTTTAAATGTGATGAAATAGATCCAGCGTGGCTCTATATGGCCCAATGACCCTGTGTCCGTATAGTCCATATGTTTATAGGTATGAGGAAGTCAAGCTTTTCCTGCCTTCATGTACGTGGGGATGGTGCCTCGTTGTGTTAAACCTTCAAAACGCTTGTATGTGTAGTTCAGGAAGACCCAGTCCTTGGATTTGAAGTCTGGTTCTGTTGAGTTGGCTGTGACAAAAACATGACAAAAAAAGTTAATACTTACTACATACAGCGTGATCCATGTCTGCAAACATATTTACCCTCCAGTACTAATAAAAGAAACCTTAAACCTTGAACCCTGAACTTCCAATGCATCCCCTTTTCTATAATTTAATAATGTATGTACAGTTTCAGTAAATCCTTTGGTCTTCCTTTAGGCCCCAGTATCTGGCAGATCTGACCACAACTTCTACCCAATCATTCATTATCCCTCTGAACCATCTCAAATTTCCTTGTCTTAACCAGGAACGTTAAAACAATATGTTGGCCTGATAATTACTATATTGATTTATCATTCAATATAAAAGCTGGAACTATATTTTTTAGGGTAACTTTCTTAACACTACTGGGAAAATTTGTTATTTTTTGCCACTATGATGAAATTCAAGCCGTAAAAGGTTGAATGCATAACTTCTATGACTCATTACAGATGCAAACTAAGAACTAAATTGTTTCATTCTGTTTATTTATGTCAGCTTGTGATTTATAATGTAATATTGTACATTAGAATAGTTTTTGTGGTTTAAATCTGCTCTTGGGTTATTATGTTAGTGGCATAAATTAGTTGCCATATTACTCTTTATCATCTATATTTACTTTAGCAATATATCATACTTTTTTAGCATGACAGGACTAACAATCTGCATTGAGGGAGTCAGTGGCTCAGATGGTAGAGAGGTTGTGATGGAGCAGTTGGAGGTTCTATCCCAGATCTGACTAGTAAAAACTGTTGTTCTGTGCTTGGGCAAGACACTTTACACACCTTAACTAGTGACTGTATTTAATAAATAGGCACAAAATAAATAAATGTTGTTTTAAATCAAATTAAACAAAATAAAAGGAAGAAAAAAAAAGGCAAACTTACTGGTCATACCTGGCTGGAGGATGTCCGACTCAGGGAAGTCATCGAAGTTTGAAGTGTCGTCGATGCTTTTGATTTCAATAGAGATGGCTGCCGGTCTCTCCCTGCAGAGAAGAGTAAAATATAGTGCTTTATTATTACCATTTATGTTTTACTCTTTGTTATTATAATATATTGTAATGTGTGAGCTACAGTGTCCAAAAAATGTCCTTGTGGACCAATAAAAGTCTAAGTCTAAGTTTAATCTATGTACTGAACATTATTATGGCTTACAGCATTCTGAATAGTACACGAAATTGTAACTCCTGATTTGTATTTGAGGTTGGTGATAATGTTTTCAATATTGCATATTTTAAAGCTTTACACTGGAGCTGAAGGGTTATGGAAAAATATTGAATTGCTGTATATTTTTTTAAGTATTACGTTTAGATCTAGTTCAATGTGCAAATGCCCAGGAGCTTTAATGTTAGACAGAATTCTGAAATATAAACCACTCAACTACACCAAGAATCACATGCATTTCATTACAGGGTTAGCAACTTACCTGATGTGCTCCCAGTCGACTGATTCAAAAAATTGGTGACTCTTGATCTCGTCCACGCTCACAGCACCAATCCTGTTCTCGGCATCTGTGCAGTACCTGAAAGAGACACCAAATATTACTGAAAGAAAGCCTGAGCAAGTATTTATTTTAAAATCAACTTCGTGTTAATTAACTGAATGCACTGAACTTGTGAGCTGATGGTAAGCTCAAAATGTAATTAATTATGTGACATGATTAACCATTTTGTTTGTAGGTAACAGACATGACACATGTAACGTTTCTACCACTAGGCGGGGTCATAGTTCAGCTGTTGGTGTAAAAATGTATGAGTAAAAATAAAGGGTTACTCAAACATGTGTGAATGAAACAAAACACATCTCCAGGTTTTTTGAAGTGGTAACAACATTCTAACGTGGCTAAAAGCAGAGAGGAGTACATTTTGTGTAATATAGTACCTTTCATTGTAGCAGTGTTAATAGTAGGTGCAGTGGCTATAATAGTAGGCTTGTAGTAATAGTACAGGACAGACACATTACCTCAGTATTAGGTCCTTGGCACGTTCTGAGATGGGGACTTCAGGAGGAAAGACCAGAGTCTCTTTCCAGTTCATGACCTTTCTGTAGGTTTCCTGAGGCGTCTCTGAACAGAAGGGAGGATAACCTGCAGCAAAACAGCAACCAGTCATTTTAAAAGACAAATATTTATGGTCAAACACTAACAGACAGAGGTTATACGCACATGCCTATGCACAGTAGGAAACAATTTACTGACCTCAATAAACACCATGAAAACTAAGGTGTGTAAAATGTAATATATACACCAGTATACAAAATAAATTATATGAACATAAAAAACAACAACTGTGGCTATGATCTTCTATGATGATGACATCGTTTTGCATAGTGAGAAATGACATGGTGAATTGTGATGGCCATAACTGTTAAAGGGCTCTTATTATGCTATTTTCTGATTTATGTTATAATGTTCGGTTGTGTTTTGTTTCATTCACACATGATTAATACACAAATCCTGCATATTTAGGCTGAGTTCTTCTCTCAAACTGAAATGTAATGTCATATACAGGAGGTGCTCCACTGTGTTTTTAAACTCCCTACATCTTCACTAGAATCATTTTGATAATTTCAACCCTGGAATTGTCAATCGCCACTAAACAAAAGGTGAAAGGTAGCTGTTAACTCGAAAAAAGACCACTCCATGACATCAAGGTGGAACAGAGCATTCAGAGCTTAAGAGATGTAGACAGAGTAATAATGAAGGGTTACTTAAACATGTGTGAATGAAAACAAAACACAACTCCGGGTATGTTTTTAAGAGGTAACAACATTCTAAAATGGCTTTAAGCTCACTTTAATAAAGCTAATTAGATGAATGAATTGATGAATTACATTTACTTAAATAAATTGTCCTTATAAATGGCTACTCACCGATGAGCATTTCGTACATGATGACACCCAGACTCCACCAGTCGCACAGTTTGTTGTAGCCCGTTTGCATGAAGACCTCTGGGGCGATGTAGTCCGGGGTTCCCACTGTGGAATAGGCCTGATACACAGAGGACAAACTCAAATACTGTAACTTCAATAGCAGTAAAACTGTTGGAAGTAGTTGGTATTTTCTTACCAGCTGTCGTCTGTTCTTTTTCCATGTTTCTGCTTTCCTTTTAGAGTTCATATTTTGAAAAGCTACAACACAAAAATAGTGGTTGTTAAACGTTTTGTTGAGTACAGTTTATAATAAGTTATATATTTACTGATGAATGTTACACTCACAGAAGTCGCTGGGCGGGTTGTGCGTGAGATTTCTGTAAAACTCAGTTCGATGAGCTTTTTTGAGTCCCGTACACAGGCCAAAATCTGACAGTTTTACGTGGCCCTGTAATACATAAAAGATATAAATCATTAACACCATCTAGAATATTTTTATTTAATTTACTACAACTGACTCAAGTTTGATCCATTATGTTATAATATGTACATTTTAAAATCACAATATATGTACATTTTCAAATCACAATAATACTGAATCATAATATTCATCCAAAATGACTTAATACCGTGTTAGAAAACTGTGATACACAATGGGAGCAAGCATCATCAAAAACGGCATCCCAACAAAGAGCTATGCAGCTGTTAACCCCTCTAATAGATAACTGCAGATCATGCTAGTGAGCAGCAATTTTTTTTTTTCATAACCAAAATGACTTTGCGGCACTGCCAAATCCTAAGCATATCACTGATTATGAAAGGAAAAGAAGAAAAGTTGATTTTGTATAATAGGTCTGCTTTAACAAGGAATAACTGCTGCACCCTAGACCCAAACAAATCAACAGGACCTTTGGTTATTTCATCATTTTGCTTTACATCATTCTGTGCTCGTACCCTGGAGTCGAGCAGCAGGTTGTCTGGTTTGATGTCTCTGTGAATGAACCCAAGTTGGTGAATGGAGTCTATGGCCAGGACCGTCTCAGCGATGTAAAACTGAGTGGCCTCTTCAGACAGAGTGTCCTTCTTCATCAGTAGGGTCATCATGTCTCCTACAAACACAGTACAAAACAGAATATCATTGTAGAGGTGGGTGGGTGATAAAAAAAAAAAGTTCATATCAGAATCACAATTATAGTACTTGGTAGCATTCCATTTCATTAAGACCCAGCTATTGGCTTCTTCTAAAAGTTTACATGTAAAGCGCATGTGATCTCAGCCTTATTTTTAAGTCACTTCCTTGTTTAGAAGTGATTAAGTAAAATAGTCAAAAGGGTCTATACCTGATTTTATTCCCATATATTTGAGTAAAATACAATAGAGATACATTTCGTGTAAGCTGCTTTTGAGGTGAAGCTTTGAAGTGAGCTGTGTGCTGTCTGCATATAGTTAGAAAGTGCTTCATTATCTTATAATTAGAAGTATTATCATGCAAGTTGTTGTTAGCGTTGCTGCTGTGAAAAGTGCTTACAAACTCATTGCTGTAAATGCATTAGGTAAGTGAGGAATAACTTTGGACCACTGCAAGTAGTTTAAAATTAACTAGTTCTGTTTTTCACATAAAAAAAAAAAGAAGTTAAGAAAAAAAAAGTTTTAGGGATGGTTTAAAGATGGGGACAATGGCTCTTAGTTTGAAATAATTGAGAAATCCAAGTTTACCTCCGGGTAGAAACTCCATGATGAGGTAGAGGTTCCTTTTGTCCTGGAAACTATAAAACATCTTAACAACCCATGCGCCGTCCGCCTCCACCAAAATGTCCCTCTCTGCTCGGATATGGGCAACCTGGGACCAGAAAATGCCATCACTGCATAATCTTTGAAAGTCAAGTTAAAATATAGTTACAATAATGATCAACCTTACCTGTTCCTTCTCCAGCATGTCAGCTTTCCTCAAGATCTTCATGGCATAGATGTGTCCTGTGTCTTTCTTCTGAACCAATCGAACCTGAGGATTGACAACAAATTAAGAATTTGGCAAATAAAAATGGTTGTGTTCTTTATTATTAGTCTGTCTATATCTCGAAATTTCAAAATGCTCTGTTCCACCTTGTGATGTCATGAAGCAGTAGTTTTCAAGTTAACAGCCCCTTTTACCTCTAGTTCAGTAGAGGTGCTATTCCAGGGCTGAAATTTTCCAAATGATTCTTGTGAAGGTGTATAGAGTTTAAAACACAGAGGAGCACTTCCTGTATTACCACAAGACATCATAAAGAGTGTTTTCTGTTTGAGGGAAGAACTCAGCCTAAATATGCAGCACTTATGAATGAAATAAAATACAACTCCTGGTGTGTTGGAAAAAAAAAAACATAAAATAGATCAGAAAATAGCGGGACCTTTAAATTGTCCTCCACATGAAGCACTTTGGGCAGTTGTTATTGTAATCGTGTTCTGTTCTAACTGCATTGAACTGAAAACGTAAAATGCAAAATATACAGCATTTTTTCAACATAATAAAAATTTCAACAAAAAACATGTAACATGCTTGTGACCAGAAGAAAGGAAATATTCTAATGGGGCAATTATATTTGAGGAATGTCTGTATACAATATCAATTTTATGCGATTAATTTAGAAAATATTTTTGTACACTATAGGAATGAATAGTGTGTTAGCTTTAAGAGACAGGATATGATAAGTCCCTTGTATTATAGTGTTCAAAGTTAGTTCAGGGTTTGTGTAAAAACCTTGTAAAAAAAAAGCTTGTAAATCTACATAATATGAAACAAAGACACTTTGTGTATGCAGCATTACTTAGCACTAATCATCTTTATTATGAGATATACTGACCAATATTTACTACTTTTTTGTAATTATTAGTGATTTTAAAACTCACCTCTCCAAAAGCTCCTCGTCCAATCACTTTTAGAGACTCAAAATCATCAAGTCCGAGTCGAGTCCTTTTCAACCGCAAAAACTCTGTCTCTTTTCGGGCATGTTGTGAGCGGCGCATGACTTTCTGTAACAAGTAAACAAACAGAAATGTGTAAATATAATGCACAAAACATTATAAAAATGATATACAATACATTCAATTAAATTCACCTCTTCATCTGGTAAACCCTCCTCTTCCATGGCCTTTTCAAGCTTCTTCTGCCTGGAAAATAGAAAATGCATTTAATTGGGCTATAAAATTAATCGCTATCAAAGTGCAATCACCATTTGAATGTTTGCAATTACCAAATTACAAAGACTGGATATTATAATGCAGTTTGCAGTGAACAAGATATCCTGTCTCCACGGGTTCTCATAAAAAAAACTTGCTAACTCTGTTGTTTAGATCTCTGCAAATATTACTGTAATAACAGTATTCATTAATTTAGCAGTTCATATATCAGTTTACTGCTCCCTGATGTGTTTAAAAGATCCTATATTACACAAACTTTACTCTTGTGAGCTTTAAGCCATGTTAAATGCTGCTACTTTATACCTAGTTGTGTTTTGTTTCTTTCACATGTGTTTGAGTAATCCTAATTATTAGTCTGTCAACATCTGCAAAGCTCAAAAAGGGTCTGTTTCACTTTGTGATGTCATGAAGCTGTAGTTTTGAAGTTAAGTGTGACCTTTTACCTTTAGTTCAGTAGAGACTGGAAATTCCAGGGCTGAAATTATCCAAATGATTCTAGTGAAGGTGTATGGAGTTTAAAAACATAGTGAAGCATATTGTTTTCTGTTTGAGAAAACACTCTGTGTGTTAAATGTGTGAATGAAACAAAACACAACTCCAAGTATGTTTGTGATGAGAAAACATTGTAACATAGATTATAAAATAGTGTAATATAAGAAATTAGATAAGGAAAATAGCATCCTTTAAAATATGCACTGTGAAGTAAATCTTGATTTCAAATTTAAACTGCAAATCTATAACAATCACAAATTAATTTTTTCCAAACTCTTTCAGCTCTGGTATATAAACACAAAAGTTACATCAAACTTTAACTATCCTTAGCCTGTTGACCTAACATTTGTGTAGAGGCAGATATTAGATATCCAAACCCAGTCAGGACATGTAAACAAACCTGGTGTTAATTTGAGAAACCGTAATAGTTGGACTACAGTGAACATGGATCAGATCGCAGAACACGAGAGCGGACAAGTTGTTTATCCACTGGGCTTTGTGCGTTTAGTGAAGAACACAGAGCAGTGACATCTGATGCTGTAAAACTGAGCCAGGTTTTCAGGTAGATAATAGTCAGGCTAATCTGTTCACACGAAACACAAACTAGTTTATTTAAAGATTTTATATTACACAAAATTGACTCCTGTGAGCTAAGCCTTGTTACAATGCTGTTACCTCATCAAAAACATACTTGGAGTTATGTTTTGTTTCATTCACACATTTGGAGATGTAGACAGACTAATAATAAAGAGTTACTCAAAGATCAAAATGCTCTGTTCTATCTCGTGATGTCATGAAACGGTAGTATTCAAGTTACATTTTACCTTTTGTTCAGCAGAGATTGGCAATTCTAGAGTTGAAACTATCCAAATGATTCAAATGAAGGTGCATGAAGTTAAAAAATACAGTAGAGCACGTCTTGTATTACCATATAGCATCACAAAATGGATCAGAGTGTTTTTGTTTGAGACTTGACCTAGGCTTGTGTGAATGAAACAAAACTACTCCAGGTATGTTTTTTAATGAGATAACAACATTATGACATAGATCAGAAAATTGCGTAATATAGGCCCTTTAAAAGAACTGTAGGTAAGATTTTGATTTTACATTTCATAAACATGACCTATTTGTGTCCCCAGATGTGAAGTAGACAAATCCAGATCAAATGTAGCTTTACTGATAAGAACTGTAGCACTAATGACAAAAACATTGGACATGATAGCTGAAGAAGCATAATAGAAAATCCACTTGTTAGTCAAGAAGACATAAAGCAAACAGTATCAGATATTGGCTACCAAATACTGGTTCAGCTGATATCCTGGTTGGACAAATAAATCAATTTAATCAGACTATTTACTGGTCATAGTCGGCCAAGAAGGTCTCATAATTGTTGAACTTTTATATACACAAAGTTGTTCTGTGGTTACTCGAGAGATAAATAACACATTTGGATCAGTTTTGTCTTATTTTTGTTTAAAGGAAATTCATGTTTTCAGTCTCTGCATTGGTATTTTGGGTATATATTGGGTATTGGCAAACACTTAAAGCTGTAGTATGAAGATCAGTATCGGAACTGGAAAAGCTGGATCGGTGCTCCCCTAGTTGACAGTTTCCACTCTTCCCAGTTTATGGGAAGAGTCAACAAGCCTTGGTCGATTTTCATTTGTGGTATGGTTTTGAACTTTTTATGTCTGCTGGTCATCAAAAATGTGTGGAATGATACTATTAATAATTCAGATTGTAAAGCAACAATGCCTACATACTTATTATAGGCCTAATAACGCACATATTTTTACTGAGACTAGATGGTACATACAATCCATATTTTTTTTTAAACTATGGGGGGCCACCATAGTCTGCTCATTGTAACATGCAAACTCCACATGGTCCAAGTATTGTACATCGTATCGTACACGGGACCTTCTTGCTGTGAGGGTGCAGAGTTAACAGAGTTATGTTTTCATGGTTCATACCTCATTTCGCGCTCTTCGTGCTGAGTGAGCAGAGTGCTGTAAAAGTTCTCCAGCGTTAGTTTGGCCACGGTCACTCTCTCTCTCGTGTGGTTACTCATGGGAAGGGCCGCTGCTGTCCCTCCCGTCATGGCCATACTTTCCTGAATGAAAGAAAATACAAGAATTATACCTTTGTGATGTAATATATTTAATTTTTATGGTTTATAGGCTTCGGTGGACAGAACAAGAAAATGAGGAGATATAGGTTGAGGGTTAGGCCATTCAGTCAGTTTATAAAGATTGATTTCTCTTTTGGCCAAGATCATCTCATAATATTTGAACTTTAACTTGTTGAAGTTGTCCTGTATTTCCTTAAGCTATAAAAAGTTGAATCAGTCATCTGACCACACATCAAAATTGGGCCTGAACTAGACCAGGACTTGAACAAGATCAAACCAAGTTTATATCAGGACTCAAACCTGGACCAAACCAGGACAACTAAACTGTAAACACACCCATAATTTCATGTTTCTACTTTGTGTATCAGTACAATTTTCTTAACCCTTTCCTCATCAAAAACACACCTGGAGTTGTGTTTTGTTGCACACATTTAACACACAAACCCTGCAGATTTAGTGAGTTTCACTAGAGTCATTAGGATGATTTAAGCTTTAGAATTCCCAGTCTCTACTGAACTAATAGGTAAAAGAAGCTGTTAACTTGAAAACTATCACTTCATGACATCACAAGGTGGAACAGAGCATTTTGAGCTTTGGAGATGTAGACAGTTTAATAATAAAAAATTACTCAAACATGTGTGAATTAAACAAAACACAGCTCCAAATATGTTTTTGATGAGGTAACAACATAATAACATGGCTTAAAGGTCACAAAGGTCAATTTAGCATAATATAGGACCTTTAAAAGATTCATAGAAGCTGCACTCCTACATTCCTTTGCACTGGGCTGATGCAGTGATTCGGTACATGGCACACGTCAGCTTTCAACCTCTTTAACATTTATTATATTGTTAAAGTTTGAGAGCTAACAGTTTATGACTTTCAAATATTGTTTCAAAAGATTGATCATAAAGATTAGACATACAGTATGTGATCCCACCATGCATCACTACACAATCCTGTACTGTGCAGGGCAATCAAGCATGTGAAAAAAGCAGTCACAGGATGAGGTTTCTCTGAATGCTCATCACTGATATTGATCTATCTCTATTGGATCTGTTGGCCAGGCCCTGCTAAATTATGAAGTATGACATAACTCAAATCCTGCATAGGTTTATGTTAGGTTTATTTGCCTACAGTAGAGGTGGGGGAAATGTCGAAACATTTATAACATCACGTTTGTTGTTTCAGAGATATGCAAACTTCTTCTACTACCCCTTTCTACTATAAATCAATTTAAAAGGCTGCAAAATACCTCATTAAAAATAGGTACAATGCAATCCATCAATTAATGGGTATAAAATGATAAGTTATAGGTAGTTTATCATATAAAAATCATATATTATAGTCATGAGATCCCCAAAATAATATCAATACATTTTTGTTAATATTGTCTATGCCTAGCTTGCAGACATTCACAAACAGGAGCCTCAATGAGCTCAGGCTAAAAGCATGCACAGAATATTAGAAGTATGCTGCATGTTTTTGAGGGCAGTCCGGGCATTAGCTCACACAGAGATAAAGGCTCTGGGCTGGACTCTGATAGGACCCTGTTTGGTCTAGACCTAGGCCAGTTTCCCCTCTGCGCTCCAACAATCACCCAAAAACAACAAACTTCCTCTGGACTTCTGAGAAAATCATTAAAGAAACTGAAAGAACACAGCTGTCCTGGAGGGTGGTGACGCAGGGAAGAGGGGCAGTTCAGAGGGGCATAAGCTGTAAATTAGGCTCAGTCGGATTGAGCATATTTCTTTAAAATAGTGACAGGGATCTTTAAAATATAAAGTGAAAATCAACTAAATGAGCCAATCAGACCAGTCAAATGTTAAACATAGGTGATCAGGTAATTTGAGTCTGTGCCTTTATCCATGTGAAACTACCATTAGCTCCATATACTTACACAACAGTATTGATGAATAGGCCTACCTGTCACAATAAGAAAACATTTTAAAGTTCAAATGATTGGTGCAGAATTGGGGTGTGCAAAATATCAAAATATCAATATATCGTATCATTTAATGTGATGATACAGTATCAGTATCATGGGCTGCTGTAGCGATATATTGCCAAGAGTATTTTTTTTGTATGTTTTACTAAATTATTTTGTTACAGCACTTCGTTTTGTTGCATGCTCAGAGAAAGGGAAGTCGTTTATGCAACACATTTGACATTTTCACAGTTTTGATTATTAAAATGGGCGTGTTTCAAATGAAGTTTGTACAAGAAGTAGTTTAAGAAAGACTTTTAGTATCACAGCCATGATTTAGCCTTTATTTTTAATTGAACCGTATCGATCCGATTTGAAATATATCATATTGAATCGAACGTGCACTGTATCGAGATATGTATTGTATCGTGGCCTATGTATTGAGGTATGTATCGTATCAGCAACTTCTTAATGATACCCAGCCCTAGAGCAGAAAATGTTGCACAAAAGAATAATATTGACTAGACCAAGCCTATGACCCTAAAACGTGACAATCCCCTTGAACCATTTAAAGAACAAACAGGAGACACAACACAATAAAAAAAAGTAGAGTTTGTTTGCAAAAAAAGGTCAGACACAAAACACTTGCCTGACCGGCTAGTCCCTTCTACATTCTACAATACAGAAGGATCTGGAATTGAACCACAGAGCATAAAAAGCCTCCATCCAAACTTGATATGATCCAAACACAGCTGCTAATTTGTAGCACGTGTCTCTCCTCTCAAATATTCTCATATCAGAATCCTTTAACCTTTACCTCCATGTTTGTTTTTGGCGTGAACTGAGCATGTGTCTCTCTGATTGGTTACTCCGCCTGTTAGTCACACCCTCTTAATTCAGGTATACCAAAAACACAAATAATGAACACTATTGTTAACTCAGCTGATCAATAATTCGATATTATTGCTATTATTATTATTATTCGATATTATTACTTTTGATCACAAAATGAATCACAAATGTTAGGTTTGCATGCTATCATTGGGCATGCAAAGGACTCACCCAATCACTCACATACGCATTTATTCATCAGATGGGGTAAAGTGACCGGAACAAAAGGCCAACGGACAAGTGGGATCAGTGAGCATAACAATATTCAGACAGTGTTTTGTCAACATCGGTCAGAAATGAGTCAACGTTCATCTTTAAATGAGTTGAGATTTAAGTATTAGCCAAAGATATCTGTAAAAATTACCTACAGAAATGCAGACTTATACAGTTATACAGTAATGAATATTATCTTAAATAATACACTGTTAACCATAAACATTTCAAATCCTACTTAACCCTTGGCTTGTGAAACTTTCCAAGTTCCTCCTCCCTGTGTCCACACAACCAGCTCCTCAGGTTGAATATGCATTTGACTGGTCCCACTTTAGCAGGTTCAGTTTTAACCCTGAGGCCAAACGCAGCTCCAGCACCACAGGAAAGAAATGTCCTGACAATATTATTAGCCTCCTAATGACAGATGGCACATTTATAGACCTGGATGTAGTTCTGTGTTTATAGCGCTCACAGTCGATTAGGGCAGTGGCTCCATGTTGTGGTACAGAACATGTGACAGGTATTCAGCCCTACAGGCATCACTGCTATTTCTAATAGAGCAGCTAAACTTGTCAATCAACAAGAGAGAGGCTAAATGTTAGACGCAGCAGCGACTATACTTAAGTTACTATACTTAAACTTATATTTAACTGAGTTTTAAAGGGTAAAATTAAGTTCTGATTTGACATCAGTAGAGGTGGAAAGTGTGATACCAGGTGACACAGTAGACCTGCACAGCTTTGAGAGACAATCTAGCTTTGATTAGCGCAAGTATTGAAATTTAACTTTTTGTTTTCAAATAAAAATTTATTGTAGAGGCAACTTAAACACATCCAGGAGGTTTAATCTACGAGAGAAGCTGAACTAATCCAAAAAAACAAACAAAATTTGGACCAGAATGTTTGTAGAGGTCTAAACTTGAGGGATTTGTTTTTTTGTTTTATTTAAACGGGACATATTTGATACTTGTGATTTAATTGCATAACATCTATTTCAAGACTACTGACTTGTGAACTTGTTAAGATGCTCAAACGTTTTTTGTCTGACATTCCCCGACTCATGAATGCAGTCTGAACAAATGCAGACACTATGGTTAGAATATTTCTTGCTTTGAGACAAACATCCAGCTAAACAGCGTACGGCTGTCATGAGCTTTGCATGTGAAATCATAACTACTTTATCCAGCTTTTCTCTGCTTCTCTTTCTTCTCTCATCACACCACCTCCAAAAACAGCATGCATGTTTTCAGACATGTTTGTTGTGAAAATGTTTATTTGCATCAAGTAAACACAATTGTCAGCAGTGTAGATCATCAAATTATCTTATTTAGATTTTAAGTATTTATATATGGGACAACAGCAGAAGGGAGGAGTCAGTGAGTGAATCAGTGAAATGTTTACCGATTTATAAACAACCTCAGAGGCCTTTTTCGGAACCAGTAACACTAATCTAACTCGGGATGCCATGTACCCTCTTTCACAAAATGGAAAATCCACTCAAGTGAAGTGTGCAAATGTTCCAGTGGAAACAAGACCAAAGAAACAATTATCTAATCCAGAAGTGAACAACAGTTTCCTTTATGCATGAGCTAAAAAAAAAAAGTTTTAGAAAAGTGGACTCAAACACAGCTTGCATGTAAATCCCTATACTGTATCATACAATTGTGCAGGAACAGTCATATTTTCACAGTACAATAAAGTATAATAAATACAAACCTATCACGTCACTTGCTATGACTTATAGCCAACTACAAACCTAAACCGGGATTTAACCAACAATGTTTTTAATCTGTAAAAAGACAAAGTAACAAAAGGAAGACTATAGGTATTGGCTACTTCCTGGATCAATGCTGTACCTGGACTAATAAGGACTAAACCAGGACTAAAGCAAGACTTAAACACAAAACATTATGCCAGAATTAAACCAGTACCAAACCAGGACTCAACAATAAATACTAAGTCATAATGTATAAAACAGGATATGTGTATTTGTATCTTAATTTTACAAAATAAGATTATTTTTTGTTTTTTAATTTTATCACCATTTATTTTTTTGTTATTATATTGTGATGTTGATGTTGTCAGTTACTCTGTTCAAGTTATTTCCCTAGGACTTATGCAAAACTAACCCAGGATTTGAATCAGAACAAAACAATGCTGACTCAATCAATATAAATAAACAAGGATATCATAACTTCAAAATACTCCTTTACCTAGTAGCTGTGTACCACCAGAAGTGACCAGAGTACCAAAGCTGTACCTGCACCACAGTTTGAGAACCACTGCTCCAGACTGAATGGATTTGTGTTGGTGGAGCTCTCAGTTTGGTGTTAGATTCTTGAGTTTGAGGAGTAAAGCCAGACTTACTCCACCCTGGATACAGTAAAGAGTGAGTGCACAGGAAGCCCTTTCCGTTTCAATGAAAGAGTCCAGTCACACAGAGTTTCCATGGACTAAAGAAAGAGCATTACATTAACAAATACTCACATGCAAATACAAGGAAAAACAAGGATAAGGAAATAAGGAACCAGAGAAACAATCTCCAAGCAACACAACTGCTTATTAACAAATAGTAATATTGTTTTAATCTAGAAATGGAGTGGGCTATGTTGACAAAAATTAATATCTCATTATATTTTTGGCTACAATAATTTGCAATTCGCAATCCAAGAGAAATGTGTGAAAATGTAACTTTAATTATATTGGGTAAGGTTTTTCGTTTGAGTGGACAGTACAGACAGAAAAATATAACTTTAGCATATCTACAATATAATATTCACAACATTATCAGATACATTATCCAAATACACTTTACTGCATTACTGAACTACCACAGCTCAAAATGTTGGTATATAGATGAAAAAATTTATATTTTTGTCAAAAAAAACTGTTTGTTGTAAATGACGTTTGGACCCCATGTGTGCGAAGGGATGGCTCACTAATGTCACCGGTATAATGGTAGAAAAGTACAACGATTTTACTTCTACCACTATATTAATAATTGGCAGAAAATCCCTCAATACATGACTTGTTTTGGAGTCAATTATTACAGTTATTCAATTACTTAACTAATTTTATTGATCCACTGGGGAAATTATTTGGACACAGTAGCTCACACATCACAATATAATATTACTAAATTAGATGGCAATCATTAGATGATAAATAATTTCAATACTCAAGTGAGGCAGCTTAGAGTTTTACAGCCTTCCACTGAATCAGGTTTTTGTTTTGTTTTTTCTTTCTATATACGTCAAGGGGTGTCTGGAGAAAAAGGTGATTCACACACATTACACACATGGTGACCACAAACTTCCCTGTTTTTTTTTTTTTCCTTCACGGCTCCCTGACCCAAACTACAGAACTGTACTGAGTTACTGTAGAAAATTAACAAGCAGCAACAGAATCTATGGTGATCCTTTAACTTAAAAACAAAACAAGGACCAAAAACAGAGAGAGAGTCATTCCAGCCATCGGTTCTTAATGGCTTCTTAGAAAAGAGGCAAGCCTGAATATTATGTAGGCTATTAAGAAGTCAAGTGTTTCATTGAGCAATCATAAACTAAATCCAGTGTATGAACGATTAAAACAGCATAGTGATGTTGCAGGGCTAAACGTGGTAGATGGTTCAGAGACACTAGACGTTTTCATCATTTGTAACATCGGATTTATGACATTTAAGACGTCAAAACACGTTGTAAAACACAGGAGCACGCATCTGTCACGCTGTGACTGTACACTATAGATTTACTTAACATATGAACGCTGATCTCTGACATGTTAATGATGAATTCAACCCAACAGCACCACAAAAAACACCAAGCATTTGCGCTTACCTCCGTGTCCTGCTCCAGAGTCAAAATTGGCTCGGCGCCAGCCCACAAGACAGGTGAAATCAGAGGAACAATTTGGTCTTTTGTCCAAATTTCAGCTCAATATTTAAGCAGTGCAACCATCCAGAGGCACCTAAGGCTGCAGAGTAAACATCGCTCTCATCATTGCAAAACCACGTATAGATCACCGGTTTAAACGAGCGTAAACTTGAGATAAAATTTAAATATTTATCGTTTATACATGAACAAATCTAATCTCGAAATCCCGCGTTTGTCCTGTCTTTTAGCTAAATGATATCGCTGCTTCCTGGGACCGTCGGATCTCTCATTTGACGCTTTGGCGACGCAGCGGTGTAGGATTTGATAGACAGGTGCATTAACCAATCAGAGCGCGACAAATGATTTAGTAATACATAGTAACCAATAGCAGTAGCCATAGCTGTTCAAATGTCCCGCCTTTCAGCCAATCACCTCTCTCTAAACATGACGCTCATGAATAGGGCTCCAAGGCATATAAAAGAGGCACAGTTATTTTAGTGTATTTGCTGTATTATATAATTTAACGAGACTTATGACCATGAAAACACATTGAAATATATTGTATTACTTTACTTTATAGTATTTTTTTGTATTTTAATTATTCCGCCAAATAAAACCCATGAAGTCACACAAGGAGAATTTTTAACTGCTATAAAGAGGTCAAGTAGATGTCATTCTAAACAACAGCTGCTATAATAGACTTTGAGAATGAAAGTAAACCATATTCATAAAACCAGTCACCATAAACCTAGAAGACCTTAGATCTAGCCAACATAAGATCAAAATGAAACCGTTAGACAATAAAATCACAGGCCTATTTATATAAACTTTGTCCTTATGTCTGAGAAATCTGAGTCATTATTATTTGGAAGTTGGCCCAATAGGCTATAGGTAGCCCAGTCTATAATGCGTTATCAATTTTCTCATTTCCTTGTTGACTTGTATTGATGTGCTAAAGGTCTCTGTGTTATAGATAAGTAATGTGATAGTTATACTGCAGTCAAAATTTTGTTGTAAGTAAAAGTTTGCTCTTAGCTTTACACACACACACACACACACACACACATATATATATATATATATATATATATATATATATATATATATATATATATATATATATATATATATATATATATATATATATATATATAAATTTTCATAATTTCATTTTTATTTCTAATACTACAACAGTAACTTAAAGTTTAACGGCCCTAAGTCCAAACCTTCCTAATTTGGAGACGTTGTGTGTTTCTGGGCAGGCCTGATGTCAGCTCCTGGGGTGTGCCCTGTGTCTGTGGGTGTGGTGAGCTGCAGACAGAGCTGTTTTTATGTTCTCTGCATCAATGGGGCCCACTCAGCTGTGACACAACACCTATATTTAGATTTAGACCAGAAATGTTTAAAACATTTTAGACTTCAACAAATTCAAGGCCTTTAAACACTTGGATACTTGTGAATAGAGAAAACTATGTCTCTGTGATGGATGAAGTAGGTTTTGGTTTCTCTAAAGGAAACTTTGGAACATAAATGTGGTTTGACGTCTATGAGTATTTAAAATCACGGTTCCACCTTGTGATATCATATGGGATATACATACAGGAAGTGCTCTTGTCTGTTTTTAAAACTCCATACACCTTCACTACATTCATTTGGATAACTTTAGCTTGGAATTTCCAATCTCTACTGAACAAAAGGTAAAAGGAGCTGTTAACCTGAAATCTACCACTACATGACATTACATGGTGTAACAAAGCATTTTGAGCTTTGGAGCTGAAGACATACTAATAATAAAGGATTACTCAAAGCAAGAAGAGTCCTTCCTCTGCGGAGTTTACATGTTTTTGCATCTGGTTTCCTCCAGGTTTCTCCCATCAACCCAAAACACAGGTAAATATCCATAGTCATAACCATAGGTAAATATCCTCCAGCTGAGGTAGTTCTGACCAAGCATAGTTCAAATTATACAGCTTGGTCCCAGGGTGCCCACCTCTCCTGTCAGACTGCTCCAGCGGCATTAAAGGATGAATCAAATACAGAGGGCAATTTCCATACAGGGGAAACACCATACATTAAATCTTGATAGAAGTTAACTTTTTTAAAATACAAACAATAATGATTGAGGACTTGAATGTATAAAATTATACACTTTGTTGTCAGTGAAGCTTCCTTAGAAAAAAGTTTCTGCTTGTATAATGTTACTGTTTCTGCTCTCAAGTGTTACTTAGAAAAAGTAAAAAAAAAAAAAAAAAACTTAAGTCATCAGTGTTATTTGGTAGAAAGAGGAAGTGACAGTGTGGTTGAATGGGTGAGGTAATAAGTGTTATATGTAGAAACAATACAAGACGTTGGGAAAACACATATCTAGTCTGATGATTAACTTATAAATACGTGGGGAAAGTTACACAAAAGTTACCTAATGCCCTCTTTTACAATAAAACAACTTCCCTTACAGCTCTCAAGTTTAACATCTTCTCCTGTGCAAATATTACAAACTTTTACAGTCTGTGAAAGTAAAAACTTCTTCCTGAAGTACCCATTCCTTGTCCATAATTGTTATGAAAAGAACATTAACACCTACATTTGTGGATGGAAATTTCAGGCAATTTATTTGACAAAAAGAAAGACACGACAGACATAAGAAATATTGTAATTATTGTATACAAATATCTACAAAACATTTGCTTTGTTGTGCCTATTATACAGCATATGTATTATAAAAATGAGGTACAGCTCAAGAGGTACTTAGTATTTCTAAGTACATATATTCCAATATTACACAAAATTGACTTGTGAGCTTTAAGCCATGTCATAGGGCTGATACTTCAGCAAAAACACACCTGGAGTTGTGTTGTTTCCATTCACACATTTGAGTAACTCTTTATTATTAGTCTGTCCTCATCTACAAAGCTCAAAATGCTCTGTTCCACCTTGTGATGTCGTGTAGTGGTAGTTAACAGCTACCTTTTACCTTCTGTTCAGAGATTGGCAGTTCCAAGACTGAACTCATACAGATTATTCTAATGCTGTATGAAGCTTAAAAACACAATGGAGCACTTTTTTCATTTAAGAGAAGAAGTAAGCCTAAAAATGCAGGATCTGTGTTAAACATGTGAATTAAACAAATCAGAACTTCCTAAAGGACTCCTCCAGTTCTTCAGTTGAGGTGGGTCTTAAGGTCTTGATCCAGTGCTTGATTTACATTTTCTAGGTGTTGTTGGGTTAAAAAAAGAGATTTCCCTGTATTTTTTGTTTAACCTTGGTCATACAAATGAGGAAATTTAGTACTTGGTAAAATGAAATATTTGCAAAGTGTTTTTCGTTAGAGAGAAGAACTCAGCCTAAATATGCAGGATTCGTGTGTTAAACGTGTGAATTAAACAAAACACATCTCCAGGTATGTTTTTGATGAGGAAACAACATTATAACATAGATCAGAAAATAGCGTAAAATAGGCCCTTTAAGGGACTTAAGGATAATCACAGGTTGGGAATAGAGTTATATAGAATTTTACAGAGCTGAGACAGTCTAGATGTTAAATAGATGATCCTGTTATGTGAGCTCAGTGAGTTTATAGTTTATAGTTTATAGAGGTCACAACCAAACAGAATCCAGACCCACTCATACACCAGTGCCACTTAGAAACACTGACTTAATACTTTAATAATTTACTCATTGAGTCATTAGTAAAATATTCAGACTGAAAGCCAAGGGTGACATTCACTGCAGCCTCTCTACTTATTTTGGACTGCATTTTTTTATTTTATGACTCTCTCAACCCCAAATTACAATAATTTTACTAGAGATTTTTTTTCCCTTAAGGAGTCCTTAAGTTCTTCAGTTAAGGTGGGTCTTGATGTCTTGATCCAGTACTTGATTTAAATTACCTACACTGTTGTTGGTTTAAAAAAAAAATCCCTGCATTTTTTGGTTTGACCTTGGTCATTCAAAACTAGGATTAATTTAAATCAATAATATTAATAGTACTTGGCAAAACTAAATTTATAAAGATGTGTAGGGTGGGAGATTGACATTTTCCAGCCACAGTGTTTTACCAGATGTCATAAAAACATGCCCCAGCTGTATTTTGGGATCTGTTAAACTTAAACTTGTAAACACAAATGTAAAGAGTCTATGTAGTCCATAATAATCCTTTTTCAGTCAGGACTCATTGGGAGAAGCTTGTGTGGGGGCAGCATTTCGTGTTCGGAGCTGAGACTGTGCGATGTCGGCCAAGGCGCTCTGGATCTTCTCGAGGAGGACGTCCCCTCTGTAAACCACCTCCTCCAAACGTGCTGCTGCATCATGGTTCTCCTCCTCCAACTGACGCAAACTCGCAGCCTAGGGACACAGAGGGAGAGATGTGGTCAGTTTTCAGTGACACAGGCTGGAATATGTTTTCAAAAATTAACAGAAAATGGTAACTGTCGTAAATTCCCTGATATAACTGTTTATTTAGTCAGGCATTCCTAGGCAGCTCAGGGGTCCTTGTGAGCACCATGGAAACGTTGCTACTTCTAACCTTACTGCTTGTGGCTTCAATTTGTCCTTTATCTAAGTCTGCTTCTGTGATAGAGATTATCAGATGAAAAGATAGAAGAAAGGACATTAAAGCTCCACAGACCCATTCAAGTGTCACTTTCTGACTGCAGTACTGTTTTGGATGGAGCATACATCGCATACAGTCTACAGTCCCAACTATGTATCTTTAATAGTAACAGAACATTCTTTTGCATAGCACTTAAAAGTTATGGCCTTAAAGCTGGGTAACTGATTTTAAAATTGTGAAATTTGTGAATTTGTTCCTAGCACTCACTAATCCCTTAAGAAGACCTATTGTGCTTGTGTCTGCTATAATCTGTGACATCCATAAATCATTATAATCATTTGGACATTTTAAAATTGCAATATTCATCTAAAAGGACTTAATAAAAGAAAAAGTCCACTGAGTTCTGAGTTAGAAAACGGCGGTGCCCAATGGGACCTGATGTCGACATAAACACCATCACAATAAAGAGCAGTGAAGTTGTTGGCACCTCTGATGGACAGCTGCACATCATGCTAGCAAGTCACATTCTTGGTCATTCTTTCCAAAATGACTACACAACATTGCCAAATCTTATATGTATCACAGATTAAGAAAATGAAATTAGAAAATGAAGTTAGTACAGAGCAGTGGGTGAATGCTGGTGATGCTGAAACTGGGGATGGATCTGCAAAATGGGGTTTTGAAAAAAGCCATTAAAGACTGCTCATATATAGACAAATCACTCCAAATACAACTTTGGGTGAGTAAATGAGGGGTAACAACTATAACATGGTTTGCTGAATACTCGATTTTGCATTATAGGTCTACATGTAATGTTCACTTACAAGAACTTTCAGGCACAAAGCTTTAAGTGATGAGTGCGTAAATGTTGTAATAGCTCCCTCTTGTGACAGGTAGAAGGATGCATATCGTTTTGTTGTTAATTGAGTATATTCTTTTAGGATTTCAGGAGCAAATAATAATCTAGCATTTGTTATTACATGGTCTGTTCTGTATATATTGACCTGTAAAGCTGCAGTGGACTCCTCACTGGGCAGAGAGTCAATTAACACATCCACATCTTTGGCTGTTCTGGCGATGAGGGCTGCAAACAGCTGAGCATATTCTGAACAACAGAAAACACAAACATGATGAATAAATTTGTATTGAAAGCACGTGTGTGCATCTTATTAGAGACATTTTAGCATTTTTAAGGAAAAGAAGCAAAAGGTATGGACAGTAAAGTGTACTTATAGTATAAATTGAAATTGTTTATATACTTTAACTGATTTCTAGGGTCACTAATACCACCAGTTTTCCAATACAGCTTTATTACAGTCTAGAAAACAAAAAAAACAAACTAAACTCACCCTCCGTGGGATTGGCAGGCTGGTCCTTGTTGATGGCAGTCTGGATGTTACTGAAAGAAGCTGGAGGAGCGCACTGCTGCAAGACTCCTATGGCGTTACAAAACTGATCCGCAAGCTGGAAACACGGCCAAATAAAACACATTATGTAATAATATAATGAGAGGGTGGAGAACATAAATAACCCCATAGATTTAGATTTAAATATCATGTAAAAACATTGATTAAGGCCCAGCTCTAGACACTATCGGTCAAGAAACACGTTATATTCCCTCAAAAACAACAGAGGACAACATGAAATACAATCTACTCTTGTTCACACAGTTCGTAAGTATTATTGTAAAGCTCCTAATGCACCTAAATATTGCATTAAAACGTTAAATAGATACCGAATTGACCGCGTCTTGAAGCTGCGTTAGTCTGTCCGCCATGTTTTCTGTAAACGTACATTTGATGTTCTCGCGAGATTCTAAAATATCGTGAGACTGGATTGTATGTGTGAGCTTTAGCAGCTCTGCACTTTTGGCTTGATTTATTACTGGAAAATTGACGATTTCACTCTCACAGTTAATTTAATTGGATGACTGACTGAATCGCGGGAACGTTTTGGAGATTTGGAAAGGATTAAACATACGAAAGCGCCGTGTGTTTGTGTTTTAGAGACGAGGTTAGCCTGATGCTAATGTTAGCTGTCAAACATCAACAGGAAGTCACTGATAGAATTTTCAAATGTCTTGCGCTTTGGGTTCACCAGGTAAGATCGTGTTTGATTGTACATTAACTCTCATGACTTAATAATCTAGTGAAAAAGTTCCTCTGCTTTGGGTAATTGAGCCAACGTGCCTTGTCTGTCAGCAATTTGTCACAATAAAAAAGTGCTTGCATATTCATTAGCAATCAAGGAGACGCCAAAACATCCATACGTGGCAGTCATAGACACTCGTAAAGAACAAGCCGAAATTGTGGATGGGAATGCATTGGAACTACTATGAACAACTATGCATTGAGATGGTGTTTTCGCTGGCATCGCAGTTGTCATAGACTTAGATGTTCTCCATAAAAATAAATCTTAAGTTTCAATGCGACATAATTTTAATACTAAAAAGTAGTCGCTGTTGGTTGGTATTTCTTCTGATAAAACTCTTAAAGTATAAGTGCCACATGACCTCTCACCAATCCTTATCAGCTTCCTAGAATAACATTGGAATTTATGCAATGTCCATTTTCCTACATTGAATTTAATGTTTTATGCTACTTCTAAGTAACTTTGAATGAGTTTGTGTTGCGGTAATCTTAGTATGGGGTTAGTATGGGGTTATGGGGTTATGATAGACATACATACATACTCCTCTATTTAACTAATGTTTATGTTGTAAAGTAGTAGTATTCCTATGGTTCTGTCATTGCAAATCTGTAAGCATGTATATTTTAATATTGTTTTGCTTTTCAGTCATGAACTGCTCCTTGGAGAAGGTTTTGGCCGATGCAAAGTGTCTGGTGGAGAGACTTCGTAACCATGACAACGCTGCAGAAATGCTCATCGAACAAACAACATCGCTGAACAAAAGAGTGGAGGCCATGAAACAGGTCTGTGTCAGTGTAAAGATCCTACGTTATGTAAAATTGACTCTAGTAAGCTTTAAGCCACAAGGTGTTTTCTATTAGAGAGAAGAAATACTGTATGTGTTTGATGAGGAAACAACATTATATCATGGATCAGAAAATAGTGCAATATGAGCCCTGACTTATTATGTGTATATTTGTACATGTTCTTTATACAGTTATTACAGTTAGTGACAATATTAAAATACACAGTTAGGAGTTTGGTTTGACTACCCCTCTTATTGTCTATCTGAAACTATTATTTCCCAGTCATTGATATTTCACAAACTTAATTTTAGATTAAGTGTAGATTAGAGCCCGACCGATATATCGGTTGGCCGATATTATCGGCTGATATGGGCAACTTTAGGCATATCGGCTATCGGCCGATATGCTTGCTGATAGGGGCCGATATTTCACGTGGGCATGTTATACCTCGTTATAAAGCTTAGACTCTCTACATTCTGTTCATTTAATCCAATTTACAGACAGATAAATGTCCTAATATGTGGCTCCACATCAGCATTTATCTACGGAGTCATTTGTCTGTGTGTGTCCGTACTGTCCCTGAACACACCACAGAGTCGCGTCACTCACGTGTGTTTGTTTACACGCGCAGACACAGATCCAAACACTGAGATTATATTCTTTTTACGGACAATAGGTTTGAGTCTGGATTAAAAGGACATTTATTAGTGCAGATTTGTGATGTGAGGAGGAGCCTGTATGAGCGGTGAGTGTTGGAAATATGTCGACTCTGAAGCTAGTTTTTGTCATTTGTTATGGGTTAGCTGCTGTAGCTCCCGCACATAAACAGACTGTTTTCTATTGGTCTGTTCTAAAGTGACTATATTGGCCGTATATTTGCTACTGGACCTGCACTGATATGTAAATGAGCTGTGAATAGAGGTGTGAATTATGACATTTGCGCATATAATTAATTACCGCGGCGCGCACGTATTTACGGCTAAAGGCTAATAGCGCTACTTTCTTTACTAGTTATGGGTCCGTCGCGAACGAAATGACTCTTAGAACCGGCTCTTTGAAGGGAACGACGGGAGCCTGATCCTTATTGGGAGCCGTGTTTTCTCTTTCTCTCACTTTTTTTCTCTTCACGCCGCGTGCAGATTCGTGGTATGACAGCGGCAGCGGCTAAAAACGAAACTTTGAGAAATTTGCGTGTACGTAGGATTAAAAAAATAAAAACAAAAAAAACGAGCATATTTGACTGTAGTTTAGCATAAAATAAATAAGTCCCGGTTTAGTCCTTTTTCAGTCCTGGTTTAGACCTGGTTCAGTCCTGATTCAGTCCTGCTTTAGACGTGCTTTAGACCTGCTTGCAACAAAACAAACTGAAGAGCCACTTGGGAGCCAAAAGAACCAGCAGCTTTTAGTGAGCCGAGCTAAAAGAGCCGGTTCTCTAAAAAGAACTGGAATACCCATCACTAGTGTCTAGAATGTGATGCAAAAATGCCATTAAGTCAACCTACTGTCTGTAAATATGATGTAAAGAGGCAGAATAACAATAAATGTTGCCTAAATAAACCCAATTTAAAATCCACCGGAGCCAAACCTAAGTTTTTTAAACAATTCAACATTTACAGTGAATTTTTACATCACTAAATATATCGGTGATTATATCGGCTATCGGCAGCTCCAACTTCCATTATATTGGTTTCATATCGGCCACAGCAAAATCCATATCGGTCGGGCTCTAGTGTAGATATAAACACACCAGCAATTTTCAAAATGAGAGTAGACAGGTAAAATAAAAATCGAAAGGTTGCCAGCTTCGATCAGCTGTATGAATGTTATTTGTGTTTGTGAAGAAGTGGTTGGTGGTAGTGCTGCTGTTGCAAATTGATTACATGTTTCAGATCTGCCCCAGGCCCTCTTCCATAGTATCTTAAGGAAATGATATAATGCTTTGAAAATCTATTATGATTAATTATTTTCACAGTACCAAGAGGAGATTGATGCACTGAACCAAGTTGCAAGACACAGACCTCGATCGAGTTTGGTTTTAGGAATCCAACAAGAAAATCGCCAAATCAGAGAACTACAGCAGGAAAACAAAGGTACACACACAAACAAAAATAAATCAAATTGTATCTCATCAATACCAACTGTATGTGTCATCTCAGAATTACGGACATCACTGGAGGAGCACCAGTCGGCCCTGGAGCTGATCATGACCAAATACAGAGAGCAGGTGTTTCGGCTGCTCATGGCCAGTAAAAGAGATGACCCTGCCATAGTCACACAGCTAAAGGAGCAGCATACTACGGTTAGTAGTTAAAAGTTAAAAGGTTCAATTCCATGTCCATGTAATGATGTGATACTCTCAGACGTGGAAGCGAGAGCCTTTTGGCATTTTCAAAAGAAATGATTCACAAACTTGCCATATTAATCTGCTTTTTCTATGCATACCTCCTTGGTAGACCCAGTGATTACAGAGATATTAATCATGAACCAGACCATATTATCTGCAGATCAGATTATTCTACCATATAATTCTTTGAAGCCCTCATCCTATATTTTTAATAATTGCAGCTGAGAATATTAAGATCACACAAGAATCACAGCTAGTTAAGAATATTTTGAATTTAGTTTTAATTTTCCTAGTGTCTCCGTTTTATTTTATATGTTTTATAGGAAATGCAGGCTCATATAGACAAGATAAATGAGATGGCATCTGTGATGCGGAAGGCCATAGAGGTGGATGAAGGACGAATCTGTGAAGATGAAGAGAAGATCAAACAACTTGAGGTAAAAAAATAAAATAAAATAAAAAATGTGTAAGTAAATTGGTATCTTCTTTTATCTTGCCCTGTACCAGTGTCAACAAAACCTCATTATGCCATTATTTTGTGTAAAGAACATTAAATCTAATCTCACCCTTTGACAGTCTATAGTGATCGATTTAGTAATCGTGATTCATTGCTTGTTTCTATTAATGCAGGTCTATGGTCAAACACAACTACTGCCACTTCTTCTATTGCCCAGATTACCCATTCTGGATTCAGTAAAGCTATTAACTATTCATGGATATCTAGAAAGATGAAAAATGAGGACCGTTGCCATAGCAAATAAGTAAATATTGTGTCTTTGGAATGGTAAAAGTCTTCAAAATATTGTGTTTAACAGGATACTGAAACCCACAAATTTACTAATTATATTAAAACTGTAGGCTGTAAGAAAATGTCAACATTCATCTTTTTGTGTATTAGCCATACCTGGACTGCACTGATATTGAGGTTTTGCTTGTGTTTTGATATTTCCAGCTGGAGAATAAAGGCCTCCGTGAGCTGCTGGGGATCAGTCGTGAAGCTTTTTTGGTTTTGAAACGAGAGGACGTCTCGGAGAACACCTCCCTCTCTCCTCTGTTAACCAGCGCCGATGTCAGTTTACGGAAGAGTTAACTCCACAGCGCTCCTCATCTGCTGTACTCTGCTATAGGTTGCATTCATATCCTAGAGTTTGCTGCATAAATCTTGAATGAAAGGCCAAGGCCAATATTAATCAGTGGGTGAGGAACTAAAACCAAAAACCTGATTACTTTTTTCTTAAGATTTAGCTCCAGAAGCTTACAATATACAATACAGGCCACTTTTGAGGCACTGAGGAGGCTAGCCTGTTTATATAAAAGATTAATAATACAACAAAATATTTATATTGTGGCATTTATTGCTCTTTCAAAGTAATACAATCATACTAAATTATACCTTAGTCAACATTTAGTGTATCACCCAGTACCATATACTTTTAATAACTCTAATCTCATATTAAATGCCCTTTTTATGCAAGATTAAAACTATTTGAACTCTTCAATATTTTGTGTTTTTCATTCTAAAATAAGATAGGAATATGAAAATATTTATACATGTAATTCCTCTCTTATTTCTGCATGTAAAACATGTGAATGAAAGGAAATGCCACTCCAGATTTGTTCTGATGAGGAAAAATTGTTTGTTTATCACAGTAAAGGACCTTAGATTATAATATAGATTTTATGGCATTATTTCATTGTGTGAGTGCAACCTATCAGCCTTAGACTCATAAAGACTCTATGATCAATCTATATTTTCTGATTTCATTCCAGCATGAGATGTTTATGCTGAGTCTTGGTTTGGTCAATCAAAAACTATTACAGCATACACAGTTTTTATGTTTTGTTTCATGGGATTTTTGTTTTCTAATTATTGACTGCATGCAGGATACTTTCATGTGTGCAAGGTTTTTAAGTGTGACTGAGGAAATGTAAAAAACAAAAGCTTGAGGTCAAATAAATTATAAACTGACTGTATTAAGTGTTTAGTGCATTCTTAATTCTGCCCACTGGATGTCACTAGGTTTTATGAAATTCCTTAAGTTTAATTATACCCATTTTTATTTCATGTTTGTGTTCATGTTTTTATGTACACTGTATTCCTAACTCAGTTTAGGTTATAGTTAGACTAGACTTCTGTTTAAATTCCTATTTGGAAGGGTAATTTTAATCCTAAAAATATATATATTTTTTTAAATAGATCCATTTTAGCTGAAAGTCAATTAGAAAATCAGTGGTGGCAGTTAAAATTCATGTAACAGAAACGCATATTAGTACATTTCTCTTTTCAATGAACAGAAGTGTTCAGTATGATACAAGAGGGTATTTGTACAGTTTAGCCGTTGATCTTTTGACTCCTTTCTAAGAGATAATATTTATTATATCTATATAAGTGTCTGTCTATTCACATTACAAACTGTAAAAATTTGGTCAAAGGTCATAAAGTCAAAACATGAGCATAAATTTTGTCCACTTAGAAAACAATGGATGAAATGTGACATAATCATATCTTTGGGCTGTTGAAGTTCAGAAGACACAACTGAATCATTTGTTCCCTCCACTGTATCCTGCTTTCTCACAAACCAGCGATCCTTCTTGTTCATTCATAAATCTCCTGTCTTGCAGCTTCAACCTCAAGCATCCAGCTATCTGTATGTTCACAACTATGCCCAAACAATCAGACATGGAGTCATATCACATGAAAAAACAAAACGCTATACCAATTGTTACCCTAGAATCGAGTTATGCGTTTTCATCATTGTTCCGTAATCTAAAACAAGAATATCAAAATTGGTGGAAGAAAGAGTAAGACTGAAAATTTTATTCAAGTAAAAGTGGCATAAAAGGGCTAAAAACGTTGTTGTTTGTAATAGTGCTTTATAAATAAACTGGATTTGGATTTGAAAAATGTACCCTATACAAGTGATGCTGAGAAAATTGTGTAAGTAAATTCTAGTTACTAGTTACTTTTTTAATCAGATCAATCTTTTATACAAATCTTGATTACCATGTGAATTAAGTTGTTTTAAAAGCAATCTGCATATTCTTTAAATTCTCCAACTTGACTTTTTAACTAAAAGCTGGTCAAGCAATATACAAGTTGAACACATTTTAAATAGCCCGTAAACCTTAACACAATATCGCGATATTTGAAGTCTGAACTCTCGCGTAAACACACAACATTTGACTGGAGGCAATTGTCTATGGAGGAGACAGAGGAGCGCGCAGCTCGCCGCCAAAATCTCGCCTTCTTAGTCCATCATGCTTTGTTTAGGGGCGCTTCTGTCACCGTGCAGAACAATCCAGGGATTATAATGACTTTTTAATTGAAATAGGACATGTTTTATTGGTAGAAAACGCGGAGGAGCGAGAATGTCCCGTTGGAGGAGTTGTGGTCCGCTGCTTCTTCTGTGCCTGGTTTGTGAAGTTCAATCGCAAGTAGAAAGTAAGTAATCCGAGCCATCAATGAAATATCTGAAGTATTATTATCTAGATTATTTACAAATATGAACGTGTGGATCATTGCTTTAGTATTATGCATCTCTCACTTATTTGAAAGTCTTGGGTGCTTGAGCATTACCACTTCACTCATTTGCCAATTCATATTTGGGGTGAAATAAATTAGTTTGTGTATTGAAAGTTCAAAGGTCATCTGATTTCTGCACGTTTTTAGGTTTATTTGTCAATTCAAGCCACAGTGAATGGAGCAACAAGAGTGTGAAATGAAAACTTGTTGCTAAATTATGATGACACATAGTCCTAGAGTAGACCAAATAAATTACTTAAAATTTGTGAGAAGCTCTCATTTTTATTTTACACTACAATAAATATAAAGAAAGAGTAAAGAAATTAAAATATATAACTTTCAGAACTGCAATGAACTGCCATTTAGTTATCATTTAAAATGAGTGTGTAATGAGATTTTATGAGAAGACAATGTGTATGACTTTCTTTCTTTTTTTTTTTTTTTTTTTTAATCTTATGTTATTTTTTATTGTATTTTTACTGCTGTTTCTTAACTATATGTGGCTGGCAAGTTAGAAAATATGGCTATGCACAAATAGGCTATTTAAACTTATATAATCAATGCAAAAAGTAAAACTATTTCCTACTAAACATTTTAGTCACTAGATCAATTTTGTTATCATTTGGTTACAGTCACATTTGAGGAGCTGAGAGAAATGGAGTAAGCATAGAGTAATTAGTAAGTGAGATTTTCCTGTAAGGATTTAGTTGATAAAATGCATGTAAACTTGTGCCTTTTATACTCAATTAGCTTCATGGTTTGTATTGTTGAACTTGTCCTTGGCAGTTGTACAATAGGCCTATTTGTCTGTTTGCCTCTCTTCTGTTCAGTCTTATTTACATTTTTCACACATTTCCATTTCCAGTCAGTTTCTCCACAGACTCTGATCTGGTCTCTGGGATAATCCTGCACGTGCTGTGTCTCTCATGCTGCTTTAAAGTGTATAGAGTTGTTGGTTCAGCTGCATGAGGTGTACCGGTACATTTAATCTCTAACCCTGCTGTGATCTATTTAATTTCCCTAAACAAAATGTCAGAAGTTATAAAGTAGGGGTGACGATATGACGATGTAATTCAAAATCATGATCCAGCTAGGGCTGTCACAAAAAAGAAGAAGAAGAAAAAAAAAAGATACCCAACTTGTTTCAATACTCAAACTAAAACTGTTATTAAAATTATATTATATTTTGTTTGTATATGTATTTATTTATGGAGTAATGATATTTTCATTTGATTAGCAGCAATACAGAGTATTTACAAAGGATTAGCAAAAAATATACTTTTTTAGGTCTTCTACCTAACTTTAAATGTTTATGTTTGACACACAGGTGTTTTATTTAGTCATATGATGAGTAAATCATTTATCAGTAAAACATTATTATGTGTGATTGCTCAATGGATTTTTTTCATTGTAAAATGTGCCAACAACTGTAGAGAGTGTTTACTGCATATAAATAATTGTTTGTTTTTGCATGTAATCCTTCATGAACCATTTGATTTATAAAATTACAGGCTGCCTTGGTCATGCTATCCGTCTTTGTAATAATCCTGGTTTATAGGTTAATGAATGATCAGTCTGTTTTAACTGTAAATCCAGATTAGCACATTTACACAATTGGAAAACCTTAGGTTTTTTCTCCTCTTTGATATTGGTGGTTTTTAAATCAAATTTTAAATTTGAAATATATTTACCTCTGCATTACCCCTTGTGCTTAATAGGGTTTAATTATTGCATAAGAAAAAATACACAAATAAGTCCATAATTAATTGCTTTAGCTTTTGAAAGCACATGAAAAGACATTGACGTCAGCAGCAGATGTCACTTGATACACTTCTTAAAAGTATTATTACATTTTCAGGGTTTTAAGTGAGGAAAGAACCCAGGTATAGGTCGGATACTATAATTTACTTCAATTTTTGGTTATTATATAATAATAAGAACAACATAGCTAAAGTAACTCAGTTGTCACCAAGATCTTTCGCTCTCTTATCAGATGACCAAACGACACAGAAGAAGCTCAGTTTAACAGTCATAACAAAACATCTCCGGTCATTGCATGCATTTAAAAAAATATAAGGTTTAAATGGTTAATTACAATTACAATTTCATATTACTGGGGACAAGCACTCAATTAAATAAACAGAGCATATACAATTATTATTAACATTTATACAATTAGATTTTATTAACTGTCTTAAAATCCAGAGCCTGTGTCTAGACTGAATATTCTTTACTTTCTGATCCATCATTTGGAATATATCTACTGTTTCAAAGACAACATTAAATAGGTTAAAGGGCCCATATTACACTATTTTATAATGTTTATAAAGTTGTTTCCTCACCAAAACGTACCTGTTGTTGTGTTTTGTTTCATTCACACATGTTTAAAATGCAAACCCTTCATATTTAGGCTGTGCTCCACTATCTTTTAAATCACAAAGTGTAACCGAGCATTTTGAGCTTTGGAGCTGCAGACAGACTAATAATAAAGGATTACTCAAACATTTGTGAATGAAACAAAACACAGCTCCTTATATAACATTATAACTGCATGTATTAAAGCTTACAATAGTAAATTTTCTGTAACGTAGGACCTTTAAACCTTTAAGTCAGATTATAAGACTATCAAACTTCTCTTTTGATGCAGTTCATTCACGTAAACTGCTTCCTTTTACATAACCTTTACTTTGTAGTGCTCTGACCTGGTTTGAGGTTACCTGGGCGATGGGCCAAAACTGAATGGACCAAATAAAGTTGTATCTTCGATGTCTGGAGGTTTCGCAGTCACACAGGGATGGCCCTTATCACAGATTTGATTAGGGAATTTCTGCAGCTCTTGCAAGCTTTTGAATATTACAGATTTCAGATTGGAGGTTATTCTAGGATACAATTTAAGGCTGGGCAATTCATCAAATTTTTATTGAAATTTAGTCATATCTAATTGACAATGATATGGTTTAGGAGTTTTTTTTCAGGAGGTCTACAGCCAAATGTCTGTAAAACATGTGGTTTGGAGCAGAGGTCAGACTTTTTTTAATGGCAGTGAGTAAAAGTGTATTATTAAAGTTCATTAAAGCAGTACTGAAAGACATGTTTATTATATTTTTTACAGAAATAAAGAATAAAAATAGAAATGTTCAATATGAGAAAAACATGCCATATTGCCCCGCCCTGATACAGTTTGATAATAACACTCTTCTCTGTTTCAGATCGAGTTGTGTTTCTTCCTGGGACTTTTCAGAACGTGTCTCTGTCACAGAATGAGACGGTGCAGGTGGAGGTGTCAAAAGTCCAGAGCGCTGTCGCCTTCATTACTGTGCAGTTTCACACACAACACCGCAACACCACCCTCTCCTACACCAGGGTAAGTCTATAATAGTACTACATGTATATAATACTGTAAGGCAAAGCAAGTTTATCTGTATAGCACAATTCGTACACAAAGTAATTC